TTTTTGATAAGTTTAAAATGTCTTTAAAATACATTCAAAATGTTTAAAAATAAACTACAAAATTAATTTAAAGTGCAAATTAAAATATAGCTGTTTCTGCAACTGTATTTGATAATGTTTTGAACTTTTAAAATATTACATGGTAAAAACAGAAGCTGTTCTTCATATTAGTGACAAAATTTGTTTTTTTTTTTTTCATTTTTTTGATGAGTTACTTTCATCTTTGCTTCTACTTTTCATTTAAAATAAGTTTCCATTCTCAGCAGGTTTCTAAGGTTCTTCTTCTACGTATTAAAACAAGTTGTTAAGCATCTGAGTGGTGCACTACCACTACTAGTGGTGAGAAAGTGTATTGCACCTTTTTTAAAATCAATGCGGCCCTCTGCGGCCCAAAGTTAAAAACTGTTGTTCTTTTGAGGCCCTCAAGGAGGCGCTTTGGGCCCTTGGGTTAAAAATATCTGGTTTAGAGACCCCTCCTCCACCTGAAGGAGCCTGGTCTGGTCTCAGTCCTCACCTTGAGGTCCAGGCGGCTGCTGCTTCTCCACCTCCTGGATGAACAGGTCGAACATCTGGGTCTGGATGAACTTTTTGACAAAGTGCCGCGTGGTTTTGGACTCGACGTGTTTGTAGAAGCGCCTCTTCTCGAACACGCCGCCGCCCTCTGAGTACCTGACGAAGGAGGCGTAGTGTCCCACCGTCCTCACGAAGAAGTGCAGGAAGGCCTCGGACACCACCCGGTTCAGCTCCTCCACCGCTGCAGAACCAGAACCAGAACAGAGACGTTTAAAAAAACTGAGACAGACAACAGATAAACCCATGTTTCAGCTCCTTTTATATAATAATAATCAGGACACCCAAGGACACTATACAGCAGGTGTAGAGAGGAGGAGGATCTGACAGAGCGTGAGGGGATGGAGATGTGAAGGAGGTCAGATACGTAAGGGGGTGTAAGATTGTGGATAGCTTTGAAAGTCAGRAGAAGATTTTTGAAGACAATCTGTAATTTCACAGCTGCTGCAGGACAGGAGTGGTGTGGCTGTGGGAGGAGGTTCTGTTGATGACATGTGCTGCTGAGTTCTGGACCATCTGTAGCTTTTGAAGGGATTTGTTGGGGAGGACAAAAAGAAGAGAGTTGCAGTAGTCAATCCGAGATGTGACACGACTGTGAACAAGGATGGCTGTGGAGCGGGGTGTTAGAGATGGTTAATATTTCAGAGATGGAAGTAGGCAGACTGAGTAACATCATTAATGTGTGAACTGAAGGAAAGAGTGGAATCGGGGATGACACCGAGATGCTTGACCTGAAGCGAGGGAGAAAGCAGGGAGTTGATAAAAGGGATGAGAAGATGGTGGGATTTAGAAATGCAGTTTTTAGTGCCAACTAGGATGATTTTTATTGTTAGGCGATGGTCCTCTTTTGCATGTGGCTAACCTGTTTGTCCAGGTGGAGGCAGGGACTATGAGGCTGAGTTCACCTGAAACTCATCAGACTGAAGAAGTCTCTTGGAGGAGAGACGAAACGTTTCACTAAAGAAAAACCCATCCAGAGGATCTACTTATTTTCAATTATTGTGATTCGTTTCCCATCCAAGTCATCTCAACTTTGCCATGCTTCTCCTCCTGCATACTTTGTCCTTGACCTGCCTTTGTAATTTATATCTGTAAAGCTCCTGTGCCAAATGATGGCTATGACTTTTGGTGCCTGTAAAACTTA